CATATTTTATGACAATGCTGTTACAATCTGTCATCCATAGTAAAATCTGTCGACCTAAGACTTAAAAGTTTCAGATTGTTTTGCTTGCTTATATTCTGAAATAAGAATATCGAAATCTGTCAGTATATATGTGCGACGTAAAAAGCGTGTTTTTATCATAGGAAAATCAAAATGAGCTGAGACTTTCACAATAAACTATTCTTGTTAAGACCTGACTCTGTAAAGAGTTTCGAGTTGAAAGTCAAAACTCAGTTTTTCTAGTATTTCTGAAGGGTGAGGACACGTCATAATACCAAAACAATACCGTAAAACTACAACATCTCAGTAGTAATAAGCTATGAGTCCGAATTTTTTCAAGGTATTCATAGCTCGTGAGGATCTACATGATATACGTAGTTCTAATGCAAGTAAAATTTGACAATTGGAATCTTTCTTTCGTAAGTAGATACAATATTATAAAAAATTTGTTTTTTGTTGAATACAAGAACGATGAATTTGAAAAAATCGTTTCAAACTTTCTAGAATACTCTTTATATTCTTTTGATCTTTTTTTTTATTACATAGACATCAATGGTTGTGATCTTCATATGTTAAAACATGAATGTGAATTTTATGGTGTACAACCATTAATTCGTCGTTTACAACTTTGTGAAGATCTTGAACATAGTCAATGTGGTGATGTTCTTTTTAATGGTTATATTAATCCTCCACATTCAACAAATACACAAATCTCATATGAATCAACACAATTATTACCAGCTCAGCCAATTGTTTGTCAACCAGTAATATCTCAACCAGCAAGTTCAGTTCGACCTGGAACTGCTCTAAGATTGAATAATATCATGCAACAAACATTAAATCGTAGTGCATCACAAATAGGAGATTTTAGGTATGAGAAATAAATAAAACAAAATACAAAAATTCTTAATTGATCATATTGAATTTTCATGATAAACGTATGCAAATACTATGTAAATTAAGATGGAGAATATTTCAATGGAATAAGATTAACTAAAACATATGCCACAATTGCAGATTAATTAATAAAAACTCAAAACGATTTTTATATACTACTCAGTTTTGTTTCGAAAGTCTTTCTAGAAAAAAAAAACATGAATCAATGCCCGTTATTGCTCCTTATGAAGATATGCATAAAGCAAAGAATTTAAAATTTAATCTCTATTCATTATAATATTCTGTTGTTTCTATTGCTCATAAAAAGCTGATTGAAATTAGAGATGTGCAGGGTAGAGTAGGATAAGGATTAGAAAATTCCTCTCAGTCAGAGTATAGAATACAAAAAAGCTTAGCCGGCATATCACTTATTGAAACCTTCTTTATGGAGTATTGGCTTTTTTTCTTTTGTATTAAAGAACTTCATCGACTGACTTTGTTTCTGTGGGTCCATCAGCACCAAGTGTCAGTCGTGGACATTCACGTGCATCATCAACTGATTCAGTTCTTTGGGCAACACATCAATCAAATACATCATCATCACATTTTCGTCAAAAACCAGCTGCATTTATTGATCATCATCCTCCAACACAAAATTCACCAACAGCAAGTGTTATTCTTCTTGCTGGACATCATAATTGGATTAGTGCTGCTTATTCAAATAATGGTTCAAAATAATTTTTATTAATAATTTTAAATAAATTTTTGTTTTTCTAGTTGTTATGTGTTATAAAATGAAAGATACAAGTGGATGGCAAATAATGTTTGAATCTGAAGTTCAATCTGATGATATTTATCGTTTAGCTATAACAGCTCGTTCATCATCATCATCAGCTAGTCAACAAAGTCAAGAATCAACATCAAATCTTCGAGAATCAAAACTTCTTGCTATTGCTGTACGAACAAATGTTCGCCTTTGGAATATAGTTGATGCATCAATTCATACTATTCTTGGAACATTTGCATTTGGTGGACCAATTGATAATTTATTTTTTATTAATTCACAATTAGTAGCAACAGGTGATGAAAGAAAAGTTGGTGTATGGCATTCAATTTCACAACAATGGCAAACACAAGAATTAACACGAATATTAAGTTTTGATACTGTATGAATTTTTATTTTTCCAATTTTTTATTAATTAGAAAAGAAAAAAAAATAATTTCAATTTTAGGCTGGAACATTTCTATTACTTGGAAGTGAAACAGGATCAATTTATTATTTTGATATGCAAAAATTTCCATTGAGAATGAAAGATAATGATTTATTAATTACAGAAATATTTAAGTAAAAATTTAAAAAATTTTTTTATTTTATAATTAAAAATTTTCTTTTTTTAGAGATCCAGCTGGTGAATCAATTACAGCATTAAGTGTTTATTTAACACCAAAGACAAGTGTTACAGGCAATTGGTAAGACAAAATAAAAAAAAAAAAAACAAATTAAATTGTATTTTTATAGGATTGAAATTGCTTATGGCACAAATTCTGGTATTATAAGGATTGTTGTACAACATCCAGAAACTGTTGGTCATGGGTAATGAATTATCAAATATTTTATAATATAAATTTTGATATCCGATTTTGTCTAGTCCTCAACTTTTTCAAACATTTTGTGTACATCGTAGTCCAGTAACAAAGGTTTATATCAATGAAAATCAAATTATTTAATTTATTTGTTTCATTTATTTATTTTCTAGATTATGCTTTCGGAGCGACATTTAATTAGGTAAAATTATTTGATATTGATTATAATAAATTTTTGATATAATGTTTAGTGTATGTGCTTCGAATAATCATGTTCGTACATGGAATGTTACTCGTTTTCGTGGCATGATTTCAACACAACCAGGTTATATATTTTAATTTGATAAATTTTCATAAAAATCAATATTTTGTAGGATCAACACCTCTTGCTTCCTATCGTGTTGTATCTATTGAACCAGCTCGATCAATAGCTAGTTATACTTCTGGCAATGTAAGATTGTCGTTTTTCCTGTTTTTTTTTCATTCATTTTCTTTCATTGTTTTTTAGGATATTGGTAAGAATTATACATGAAAAAATAGAATGAAAAGAAAGTATTGATTAATTTAGGACCATATGGTGATCGTGATGATCAACAAGTTTTTGTTCAAAAAGTAGTACCATTTGAAACAAATCAAATTTATGTCAGATTCTGTTCAACAGGTATATTTATATTCTTAGACAAAAGTTTTTCTATAATATAATATCTATTTTGAAATGAATAGATAATTGTAAATAGAGAAGTTGTTAGTAGAACCCTCTACTGGTTTAAAATGTAAAATACAATAGGACTATTGACATTGTACAAGAAAGGATTCATCACTATAGATTTCAATTTATGAATTTTAACTTACTGGTAAAAATGATAATTGTAATCGACTCCCACTCTTCGCTAATAAGATTTTCATCAACTGTCGTAGAGCAGTATGAATGCAATGTACATGTGAGAACTATGCCCAATGCTATTGAAGTGTAATTTATTGATGGTACCAGAGTGTGTTCGGATATGGTCAAATCAACTTTGAGTTAAAAAATACTTGAATAAAGAAGACATAGAAGAGAATAGATGGCAAACGAATCAAAAATAAGAAAAAAAGCTGTTAGCGCAATTTCTATGGTATTAAAATATGAAACACGATGTGTTTATTGTTGCTAATAGCAGAGATATTGTTTTATCCCAACCATTTTGGGACAAATTTCTTTACTGTTCTTGTATTTCATATTTCAAAAATACAATAAGAAATTAGTTCATTGATTATAATAATATATTGTTGATATACAATTTATGATCGTATATGAATAACGTTTGTCACGATCTATGGAGAAGAGTTTGAGGGAAGGTGCGAATTTCTACTCTATATCCTTTATCAAAGAGACGCTTGCATTGGTGAGATCAGTGAAGTTTGGCAAATCGACCAAAGTACAGGGAACGTTCATTGGTGCGAGTCCAGTGGACGTTCGTCAATGGTGAAAGTCCTATTGACGAACTTCAGATAATCCTTCGCAATAGGGTTTGGTCTCACGATTACGTCTATCATAGACCATGAGAACATAACGGTAATCCTAAAATATCTGCGTCACGTCTAAGCAGGAAGTAAATTTCTACTTCTATACTGTGAACACTCCTTTTAGATTGTGTTTCACAACAAATTGTTAGCACCATTCGTGAATCAAAATTCGATGAAAAATTTTTTCGATGCACTTAAAAGCAAATGTTATAATACAGAAATAAAACTAATATCTTTTTTTGTTTATAGGGAAACGAGTCGCTATTGTTCGATCTGTAGATAGTTCTCCGATTAGTTGTTTTACAATACATGAATGTGAAGGACCATCAAGACTGAGTACGCGTCCTCGTCGATTTATTTTTACTGGTCATGACAACGGTTTGTTTAAATAACTTAAAAGACAAAACCAAAAAAAAAAAAGAACGAATTTATTTTTCATAATAGGTTCTATTCAATTGTTTGATTTAACAACTGCTATTGAACTTAGTTCAAGTTCAGATTTAAATTCTCTTTCATTATCATCTTCATCGTCTCAACATCATAATGGCGGTCCATCACCAGCTGATTTACTCAAAATGCTTGATCATTGTGATTTTGCAGCTACAAATGGTCAAAATCAAAATTTTTTATCATCACGTTGTTCAACACCGTGTTGTATAAGTAATAATTTACCAACAACAACTGTTAATTGTACGACTGCTGTAATATCTTCACCATTATCGCAAACAATAACAAAAGAAGATAGTGATAAAAATGTTTGATATTGCATTTCTTTCTTATTCGCTAGATATCTATCTTAAATAATATTTATTTTAATGCACACAACACAAAAAAAAAAGAAATCAAAAAATCTCGTGCTTCCATAATATGAGTGAAAAATCTATCTTATTTCTTATCTTTTTATTGCTTTTTGTTAAATTAAGTGTATGTCTTTACTATTGGGTTTATCATTCAAAAAAAAAAAAAGAAATTCTTAATCAATATATAGAATACATTATTAAAAAAAAATCTTTCAGATGTTAAAAACATTAAATACATATGATCATGATTTATCAATTCAATGGGCTTTATGTGGTCGATTGACATCTCCATATCTTTATTTAAGAAAATTTATTATTGTTTTAGAATTTTCTGGTTCCGGTTATGTATGGATTCCTTATTCAATTATTATGATTGCAATTAATTATCCATTAATAACTGAAGCTATGCGTTATATTTTACTATTTACTGGACTTATGTTTGATATTGCTGTTATTGGTACAACCAAATGGTTTGTACGTCGTCCAAGACCAATGATTAATCATGATGATGTTCTTTCAATAGGACCAGATAAATTTTCTTTTCCAAGTGGTCATACATCTCGAGCTGTGTTTCTACTTTTTTATTTTATAAAAACTTCTTTTTTTTCAACAAATTCCAGGTTTAGTTATTATAAGTTGGTTAAGTGCTGTAGTTGCATCACGTGTTTTATTAGGACGTCATTATATATCAGATGTTTTAGCTGGAGTTTTATTTGGAATTTTTGAATGTGCAGCTATTGTACGTCTTTCACCTTTTGTAATTCGACTTGTTTTTTCGATTTTTAATGTTTCAAATTGATGATCAAAATAAATTATTTTTTTCTGTCTGTCAAGACTTCACATCATACATTTATTGTTTTCACATTGGATGTTATCAATCATTTGTTTGCAAACATCACACACACACATACACACATTCATTTGTATTTATTTACCAATAGAGATTAGAATAAATTGTTTGATTTTAACAAAAGAATGATGAACATCAACAAGGTAAAAGTTTTGATTGTCATTGTTTATTGGATGTACAATGATGACAAGTATTTTAACTTCTTTGATCATGATTATATGGATAATAGTTAATCAAGGTAATGATTCATAAATACAAAATAACAACAAAAACGAATTTATTTTTATTTTAGTTCAAGCAAATTGTCAAAATGATACATCACAATCAAAATTTGTATATCGACGTGTGTAAGTCTATATCAATTATGATTGTTTATTGAAAATTCTTTTAATTTAGTTGTTATTTTGCTAATTGGGCAGCTAAACGAACTGATAATATAAGTCATTTAATTCCCGAAGATATTGATCCATTTTTATGTACACATATTAATTTTGCCTTTGGTAAAGTACTCGAAAGTTTAATATTAGCACCATATGAAGAAGATGATTTAAAAGGATGGACTCTAAATTCAAAAGGCATGTATGAACGTTTATTAACACTTAAAGAAATCAATCCTGATCTACGTGTTTTATTGAGTGTTGGAGGATGGACACATGCATCACGTGGATTTAATGATGTATCAAAAAATGATGCTAATATGTATGATTGCTGTTTATTTTATTAAAATAGAAAATTCCTTTTTTTTTCCATTTAGAAAAACTTTTGTCAATAATAGTATAAAATTTTTACGAGATAATAAATTTGATGGATTAGATTTAGATTGGGTAAATTATTATAGATAATTTTTGTAAAACACGATGTAAAAGGAATGTTGAAGTATAGAGATAGGAATTTACTTCTCCACAGTCCACATCTAGGCAGACATTTGACTAAAGATGAAAATTGCACTTTTTCAAAATTTATATATAGGGAAATATACTTCGAAATATAGCCTACTTAATGGTATAAATAATTTTGTTACAATTCTCAAAGAAACTGAAAAACCGGTTCAGAGTCTCCAAGCCGAGCTCTATACAATGGTTAAAAAAAATATTTTTTAATTTACACATTTAACTTCTAGAGAAAAAAATAATGTTTTTTTTCTAGTGTTATCCGAACGACTAGTCCTGTAAAATGAAAAATTCAACTTCCAGGTTTTTTCAGAATATTCTTCTGTCTACTGTCTATAATCCCCGTTAGCGCAAACATTCCTGGATTGTACAGTAGATTTTCAAAAAACCTACATTTTTTTCTCAGTTTTTTCTGACTTTAGAAAAATATTTAATTGACAAAAAATAGTATATTCGGAGTCGGTACATTAAACTGCATCGAAGGATATATGACACAAAACAATTTTGAAGAAAAATATTTTCATGAAAAAGATGAGATCAAGGATACCCTCACACATTTTTCGCCCAAAAAACTTTATTTTTGCTTAAAAATGCTTTTCTGTGTCATATCTAATGATTTCTGAGCAAATCAATCCATTTCCCAGCAAGACAATCACATGTTCGTTTGCCATACAAAAAATGCACAATGTGTCCCCTACATACATAATAGATACGTGAGGAACGGCTCATCACAGACAGTGGCAGGTGTTGTTGATATACAATAACAGATCATATATTAATAATGTCTCATAATAATACAGTGCTGGACAAAAATAGCTACTTGTAGAAAGTGTTACTGTTCTTTATGATATTGAACTTAGTTTTTGAGTGCATGCGTGCGACAATAAGTTTTGATCGCAAACAGTGATCCGCCCTCGATCTGTTCACATGTATTGGAGTTATTATTTCGACGTCACTTTCTCTCAATCATATTGTCAGAAATATCTTTGTCAAATTCTTCATTCGAAAGGACAATGTGGTAGCTATTTCTAGTCCTAATTTCATTAGAAATCACTTTAAAATAGCTGATATATTTTCTTTTCTCATGAAAAATATGTGCTGAAGTGCATATGTCGGCTTTTAGTAACCTGCGTCTTTTTCATGATGACCATGATTAATTCATTTAAAAATTTTACTAGAAAGTTCCGATGAAACGACAAATTTGTTTTGAAAGTTTTACATCCGCAACATTGAATAAAGTCAAGTTAGTGCTACGACATGAGTTCACTATTTCAGAGTATGTTAATTATTAAGATCTTGACTAGATATTAAAATAGAAATTTGAGACTACCTTTAGCGCTAGAAGAAAAGCGTAGTAAAACTTATGAAATAGCAAAACAACGAACAAAAACTTTTTGTGTACATATTTTCGCTGAATATGTTTTTCACAAGGGAAAGAAGCTGTATGAATCCATAACTCCAGTAAATATGAACCGATGGAGGGCGAATTGATGGTGCTTACGATCATAATTTATTGTCATATGCATACACTCAAAATATTAGTTCTATATCATAAAGAATAGTAGCAATTCATGGGAAGTGACTACTTTTGTCCCAGACTGTAAATTAGCTACTGTCTTATGACATATTTGGAGGATTAAGTAGAAGTATGGTGAGGAAATATGTCCCAAAATAGATAGAATAAAATAACCTTCATGTGATTAGTAACACCAATTACATCGTGTTTTACATTCCAATCATACAGAGATTATGTGAATAGTTGTTTTAAATATAATTGAAAATATTTTTTATTTAAATAGGAATATCCAGGTGCAAAAGATCAAGGTGCAGAACCTCATTCTAAAACTGGATATACGAAATTAGTCAAGGTAAAAGAAATATGTAGAATGAACATTTTTAAAAATATAATATGAAATAGAAATTGAGTGAAATGTTTCAAGAAGAAGCTACACAAACAGGAAAAGAAAGATTATTACTAACATGTGCTACAGGTATTTTAATTATTTATGAAAAATCTAATAAATAATTAAAAATTTTCTTGTAGCTGCAGCACGACATCGAATTGAAGCTGGTTATGAAGTTAAAAAAGTTTGCAAGTAAGATATTATTTATAATTTAATAGATTTTATGAATTTGTATTTTCCTTAGATATTTTGATTTTGTATCTGTAATGACTTGTAAGTAATTTAATAACAAATTTTTTTTCTTTTTTTTCTTGGTTTAGATGATTATCATGGTAGTTGGGAAGGTAAAACTGGACATAATAGTCCTTTATATGGAATGCGTAAAGAAAGAAAAAAATTTCGTGAATGGAATATAAATAGTTCAATGAATGTATGGGTTGAATTAGGTTGTTCAAAAGAAAAACTTAATATTGGTCTTTCAGCTTATGGTCAGTTTCTCTTTTTTTTTCTATCCTTATTTTATACTTTATTTTTTTCTTACAATAAATTGTTTACTCAGGAAGAGCTTTTTCATTACTTCGAGAACCAGGTATAACTAATAATAAATCGATGCGAAAGAAAAAATCATCGATTGGATTAAAAGCAGGTGCTGCTGAACCTGGAAAATATACACGAGAAGCAGGTGTTTTGTCTTATTATGAAGTAAATTTTTGATTTTTAATAAATTTGAATATATTTCATTTATATAATAAATAAGATTTGTGAATTGATTCAAAAAAATCCAAGTAATCGTGTCTATTGGCATCGTGAAATGAGTGTTCCATATGTATCAAGTAAAACATTATGGATTGGTTATGATAATATTCGAAGTGTTACATTAAAAGTAGAAACAGAAAAATATTTTTTTTTAAAATCGAATGGTAATTTACGTGTTGTTTTTCTCTTTTGGAATTAGATGCAATTTTTAAAAGAACATGGTTATGGCGGTGTAATTATGTGGTCATTAGATCTCGATGATAAGACAGGTGAATTTTGTAATGAAGGTTCATTTCCAATATTCAATGCAGCTAAAAATGAACTATTAATTTTACCTGATTATTTATCTAATTTAAATGAAAAATGTTTTGATAATAATACATTATCAATTGAACAGTTTGATTCTCAATCGACAATAATAGGAGCAATAAATCTAAGTAAGATTCAAGATTTTTGTTAATTTTTATTAAATTTTTGTTTGATTTTTCTAGATTTTTTCTTTTGTTTTTTACTTGATATTATTATATATATTTGAATAAATAAATAAATAAATAAATAAATCCTAAATAATTATTTATCGATCGTAGATTTCTTTTTGTTTTTATAGATGGATGAAATAAATAATCGTAATAATGAATATATCAAAACAGAACTTATTGCCAAATTATTAAAACATTTTTTACCTGAAGATAAATCATCACGTTTATCAAGTGATATGGTGAAATATTTTACAGAATTAATATTTATATTTATTCATCAAGCATTTACACGTACAATTCAACAAGCATCATCAGAAGGAACAATTCATGTTGATATTCAACATTTTGAAAAAATTCTTATGCAATTATTACTTGACTTTTGATAATTAGATGTTTTCCAAAGAATAAATAAACAAAGATTAAGAAAAACGTATATATGTATATATATTTTTTTTTTTGTATTTTAGATGTCAACAATAAATTCAAAACATTCATCAGGATCGTTTAGTCATAAATCATTATCAAATTCAAGTTTAGGCGATGGTCAAGTACTTTATTGTCTTTGTCGATCAAGTGATTGTTCAACATTTATGATGTATGAAAAAAAGAAAAATATTTTTCTAGAATTTATTTTTCATATGAAAATTTTTTAGTGCATGTGATGCATGCAATATATGGTATCATGGTTTATGTATTGGAATTAGTGAAAAAGAATCAGCAAGAATAGAAAATTTCTTTTGTCATCAATGTCGTCGTAAGTAATCTTTTTCATTAGTTAAATAACTTATGTACAGTAAAGTCTCTTCATTGTGAACATCTTTAAGACTGGTGAAAATCATTCAGTATAACAGAACGATCATTTTAGAGGATGTCAAGCACAAAACAAAGCTAAACATCATCTTCACTACTTCCTATCTCTTGTCTTCTTTTAAGTGCTCTTTATTGTTTTTTTGTTTCAAATATTTCTTACTACTTTCAATTCTTTAGATAGTTCGAACTAGATCATCTTCAAATATTCTCTCGAGATTCAGTTTAAACACGTTGAGAAAAAGTTAGAATAGACAACTATTTGAAAGCATTCGAATCCAGATACGCATCGATAATATTTCATCGTAGTTCAGTACTCTAACAATGAAACATTCGATAGTGACATATTTTACAATTTTTGAGTGACAAACCACTCCAATGTACAATCATTGATGATTCTTAAAACTGTTTCTTTCATTCACGATCGGACAAACCGCATTATTTTTCTTTTACTTAAAAATTCATTGTTTGCTTTTTAAATCAAGCTCATTATAGCTTGCTCACAAATTAAAAGTACTTCTGGAAATAGTATCTCTGCATCTATTTTTTCTATTTTCATAATATTCAATCATGAAACCAATCGAAGCCGTGAAAATGATCTCCAAACCTCCAATTATAGGATTCGTTTATGCAGCGCCCTCTCGTGATACTCATATTGACAAAGTCAATGGGTACAGTTGCTACGAAAAAATTAGTTTGCACTTAGAATCAAAGACTGATCCTATAAGAGAGGTAAAGAATCGGTCGCTCAAATGGAAAATTTTGCTAATTGAAGAAAAATTTTTCAAAAATCCGTTCAACTGTCAAAGGCAAAGTTGATTTCTCTATTTAGTTTGTATCATCAAGAAAGATGAAAGAAGACAGTCCTATTGGCCATATACATAAAGTTATATTAAAAAGAGACTAATTTTTATTAATGATCGATTCATTAGAATAATTCTAATTCGAAAAAGTAATAAAGTGCACAGAAAATTACAATAAATAGTATTATTGCTTTCTATCGAACTGAAATTCGAAAAGTTGTATACAAAATTTGTGTTCTTATATAACAAAGAAAAACATTTCTTCGTCTCAAATTTGCCTAGCTAACAGTTTTGTTTGTACGATTATATCTTCGAAATTTTACCCAATAAGCACTGATGATATACGCGAGTAGACTCTGTACTTCTAGAATGTTCATTAAGAGAAATTTTACTGTAAATATTCTTTTTTTTTTTTATAGATAAAACACCCAGTTTACAAATCAGATATAATAAACCACAAAAGGAAATTGAAGAAAAATTAAGCAAATGCATTAAAGTAAAATTTATTTTCCACTTTTGACATCGTTTTTTCCTATACATTTAACTTTAGAGACGATTACAAAAAGAAGCACAACTATTGAATCCTTCATTAATTTCTATGCAAAAACAAAATGAAATAGCAACTGTAAGCTGAAGAATAAATCAACTAACGAGGAAATCACTCGAACTGATATCTATCATTTGAATTCATGTGAGATCCACGAGAACATCTTAATGAGACTAGAAAAAGCCTCAAAAGAGTTCGTCCCCGTGGATCTTTGAAGAAGAGTTATACTTGTTCTACTGAATTTTTGATTCAGTCTTACGAGTATAGTGCGTAATCGAAAAAGCAGAATTTCGATATAAAACTCTGCTCATAGATAGGCCAAATGATTCATAGAATATTCTGAAAGTTTCAATCGCAAAGAATCGTCGTTTGTCGAGTTTTTTTTTTGTAACATGTCTGTAGTAAACGATTATTTCTTGGAAATTCAATATTCTGACAAAGAAACATTCTTTCCAGCTGAAACTTTTCGAGTATTGTACAGATCATTTAATGTATCCAAGAAGCGAATTTGACGTTGGAATCCTTTTTTTATTTTATTTTTCAGTATATGCCTAAAACTTGTCCGAAAATTCAGTAAAACGATCAGAATTTATCTTCAAAGGTCTATGGAAACGAACATTTCTAGGCTTCTGCTAGTCTCATCAAGATGTTCTTGTGAGCTCAAACGACAGATCTCAATTCAGATGATTTTCACGTAAGCATAATCAATGTTTAAAATTATTTTCCATAGAATGATAAAAAGACTAGAGAACATTCAAGTAGTATGGATCAATTTATTAATGATGATTCAACTAGTAATCAATCAGACTCATCATCATCATCGACCAATGTCATGTCTCGACAACAGCAAGTATTACATGGAAATACTTCTGGAGTACCTCGATCGACCGGTATTCAATCTGTACAATATGAAGCTTTACTTTCACGTGATGAACAAGAACAAACAAATAAAAATTTGATAAACACAACAAAACGTTCATTAATAACAAAAAATATTGGAACTAGTGAAAAACGAAAAAGAAATGTTAGTAGTAGTGGTATGACTACTATCAAACGTGAACCACGGTCAGAATTAAATGATGAAGTTAGTCATTTTTCTTTTCGCAAAAAGAAAAAAGAAAATCAGTTTTTGAAATATCTATTCAGGAAGATACAAAAAATCTTAGTGCTCGACGACGTAATCGTATCAATGAAAAAACATCTCGTCAATGTTACGGACCAGGTTGTCTTTTCGAAGCACGTCCTGCATCAAAATATTGTTCGAACAAATGTGGTTTAGAACTAGCTCGAAAGTATTAAGAATTTGATTATAATATTATCATATATATAGTAGTAGACAAAAGTCTTCATCCCAGTCAATCTCGGCCACTATGTGTGCTGTAGGTCTGAAAATTTTTGTACATGCACTTTACCAAGAATGTAAATCATTGCCATTGCAGTGTCGTTATTGCTTATTACAAAGGAAGTTATGATGGATGTCACTTATATTTCTTGTCAGCCTCATGATCCTGGAAAGAAAGAGTATTTTGTATCAGTCGACTGCGCAATATGTCGCAGCTATCGATATTACTAATTTCATTGAAGTTCATCAATCCTTTCAAAGACTATGTTCATTTTTATTATGATTATTGTTATGAAAAGAAACCATCCACTGCCTTTTAGAGGTCAATAACTCAATGATAGTTCAATAAAACGAGTTCAAACTTTTTGAGAAGCTTTGTCTACAGTTAGACATTATTGTATACAAGTTTCAGAAGCGAATCTTACACTAAAAAGAAATAAAAAGTAGATAATACTCTTGTCAATTGCGAGGATACAGAAACACCAATATTCGAGCAAATTAGATTATTTTTTGGGTGAAAAAAGGTCGTAGATGGAACTTCAGCTACATGTAAAAATATCAAGAATTAGTCATATTTTTAGTAAGAAATAACGCAAAATTTTCTAGGCAGTCTTTTTTAGGTTAATAATTCTCAGAGCAAAATAATTGCTATTGTCCATCATAACTCTCGTTGTAATTAACCAATAACGGTGCCATAATACCAACGACCTATATTCTTGATGAAGTACGTGTACAAAAATTCTCAGACTTCTGGTACATACAGAAGCCGAGACCAAATAGAGCGGAGACTTTTGTCTACTACTGTATTACATATGTAATATGTATTTCTATTAGTCGTCTTCTTCAATTTCTTCCAATGCGTCTAATGCAATGGCAAACAATTCCATCTGTTGCTGATACTTTAAATAAAAAAGCTATTGATGAAATTCGAACTGAAATTGAAGACATAAAACAACGTTTATCAGTACTTGATGAACGACAACGAAAATTAAATGAAATAATTGAACGTGGAAAACAATTAAAAGCGATTAAAGATACAAATGTAAATATATTGATTATTGATTTGTTTTTTTTTTTCTAAATATTGTTTTTATTCTATTTTCTTTTTTAGAAAATTGATACAACGAATGATGAATCTGATGGAATGTATTTTTGTATTTTATGTAATCAAGAAATAAGTCAAAAATCTTATACACGTCATATTGATAAATGTTTTATTCGAGTGAAGAAATTTTTCTTATTTTTGTTTTTTTTTTTTTTAATAATTTATTTTATTTAGTTTGAAAGTCAAGTATCATATGGATCAAATGTTAAATCTAATATTGAAGGTTTATTTTGTGATAATTATGATCGTACAAATAATCTTTATTGTAAACGACTTAAAGTTATTTGTCCAGAACATTCACGAGATCCAAAAGTAAAAAACAAAATAAAATTATATTTTCTTAAATTTCTTTTCATATTTAAATTCTATGAATAGATTGGTCCAGATGAAGCATGTGGTTGTCCATTAGAGAAAGATTTATTTGAAGTATCAGATGATTTATGTACAGTTCAAAAACGATTATGTTCAAAACATTTTAAATGGGATCGAAAGCATCGTGCTCAAATTGATCTTGAACGATTACATGAAGTATTATAATAATATTTTCTAGATTCTATATTGAATAATATTTTTAGTTAATGCGTTATGAAGAACTTGTCGAAAAAGAAAATCGATTACGAACAGCTATGAATGAACGAGGTTCAGTAGCAGGACTACTTTTACATAAAACAACGGCTCATTAGAAAAAAAAAATATATAATAGTTGTGGTTTTTTTTTTCTCTTTTGTGTTTATATATACGTATTCAAAATGTATAATTGCTTTAGTTTTCTTGTGTTTGTGTAATTGATTACTCGAGAAAAAAAAAGAAACAATACGTATTATATCGACTTGTAGATATCTATGCAGAAATTATTAGGTTATGCACTTGCATTTGGAGCAGGTATTAGTACTGCAAAACTCTTACAATGGTTTCCAGTAGCAAATCAACATCAACATGGTGAACAAACACCTGGATCAAAGATGACTATGAAAGGTATCATATAGAAGAAAAACATTTCGAATGATAAATGAATTCTTTGTTTTTATATTATAATTGTAGGACGTATTCTTGATATGGGTGCTCGTATGGCCGTATGTATATTTTAATTAATGTATAGTTAGAGAATAAATTTTGTGAAACATAATCTAAAAGAAGTGTTGAAGTACATAGATAAAATTTTGAATCTCAACCAGTAACAACAGCTATATCGTGTTTGATATTTTAATATCGCAGGAATTGTGCTAACAACTTTTTATTTTTAGGGTCATTTTGCTCCAATAAATTCAATTCATCAACATGTGTGTGGTTTTCATTTTTATTCTGGTAAAAATTCTTTGTCTTTTATGCATTTTTTTAATTTTCATTTTGGATTATAGGTGAACTTAATCGTCAATTGATTGCTCATCATTATTGTTCACATATAAATCAAGATGTTCGTCAATGTGTTATTTATGATAGTGATCGTGCAGATGCACGTCTTATTGGTATTGAATATATTATTTCAGAAAAAATTTTTAATCAATTACCACCAGAAGAAAAGAAACTATGGCACTCACATGTATATGAAGTTAAAAGTGGTGAATTAATTACACCAGGTGTACCAGATATAGCTGAAAAAGAAGTCATGAAAGAATTAATTAATACATATGGAAAAACCTTTCATAGTAAATTCTTATTAATTAAAAGAAAAATAAAAGATTAATAAAAAAAAAAAATTATTTTATATATAGCATGGCAAATTGATCGTGGTGATACAATTCCTTTGGGTGTTCCACAATTAATGATGGCATTTTTACAAGATGGACAAATAAATGAAGATTTAGTACGTCAACGAGATGAGTATTATAAAGTTTCAACAGAAGACAAGAAACGTCAACGAGCGGATATTGAACCTCCAAAAGATACACATGGAGCTGATGCTTGGTCAAAATCAGGCAAAGCCGTGCAATTAACAACCAGTGAATCAAAAATGAAAACGACTAAATGGTCATTGTTTTAAATATTTTTTCTTAATTTTCTTGTTGTTTTTATTTGTTATTTAATCTCGCATTTTGATTTTTAAAAAAAACATTTAATGAATAGTAAGATAACAACTATCGATAGTTTAGGTTTTTTTTTTTTGATAATTTATAATAAATATTCTCGCATTCCATATCGACTTCTCACATTTTAAATAGAAGCGAACTTTTTTATCTGAAACGATACACATTGAAATACCGTTGTAATGAACTACTTTTCTAAGTAGTAAACTAGAATATGAAATTTGTTTAATAGTTACACATCAAACATGATATAGACTTCCAATAAGATAAACAAGACGGTTTGTCCGACTGTGAAGAAAGAAGATCATATTCAATTGTATTTCGTTTTATTGGTTTCTAACGATTTTTCCATCGATGAGAAATGATACGAAACATTGTATTCGACAATACAGTCTATCACAAATAGTTAAGGATAATAGAACAATTTAATATGTGAACTATAATTATTCTCTTTCAATATTGTAAAATTAATACACTACCGTGACTCTTCGCTTCATCTTACGTTACAATGATTCAAATGCTTTTGACATCGATTCTAGTTGATATACGGTGGAAGAACATAATGGATCTGAAATTATTCAATTTCTTACTCAACTATCGGTCCTTTTATTAGCGCAAAGCATAGTATTAGTTGCAGTGTCCAACTCTACGTGCTGTTTTATATATTGCTCACAAAGCAGTGTAAAATAACAGATCTTGTGGTGCAAACAAAACTTCATAACTAATGAAAAGAAAAGAAAGATGGTTCTTTTTTACATAGTCTTGACTTTTAAGTTCATAAAGTAAATACAAACAATTCAGATTTAGTAAAAAGAACTAGGAATTGTTCATTACTTGTTGTTAATTCACATTTGTTATTATGTATTATCCGTATAACAACAAGTTACTGAGTTTGTACCAGAAGATCTTGTGCAAAAACAAATTTTTTCATTCTTGAACTTCGATCGACTCGTTTGATCCTTGGGCAGCTACATATTTATCTTCTCAACTATCAGCAAACAAAACAAATAGAAAATACTTAAAAAGAAAGAAAACGTCGCAATACTGTTTCAATTAATTATCTATACTCTATTTTTTGTACAGCTATATGCACTAAAAAGTATAAGAGACCATAGATACTCTTCTTAACTAATTTCAATTATCTCATCTTTGTCCTGAATTTGGTCATTCTCACAGTTAATTCATCTAGAAGAAAACAACACATGAGATGAACATGTCAACTGAATGATTGAAGAATCACTATTGATACAGAACACCATGAAACTATATTTGTATCATTTTAGAAGAAAGTTTATTCATGAAAACTACAGAATAACAGAAAAATTAATTATGATAATGATTAAATAGTAAACAAAAAAAAGAATTTTAAGAATGTTCAATTTTGGTTGAGTGAAAAATATTGTCAAGCCAATTTTGTTGTTGAGGAATTTGTTCATAACATTCTTCTCGTTGATAATGAAGATTATCTGAGCTAATATTAAAAAGTGATAAATTAGGTTGAAGTGAATAGCGAGAATAGTTATCATCATCATCATCATCATTTTCTTCAAAATTAATCTTGTTATACATATTTACATGCATAGCTTGTTGATAACAATTTCCTGGTCGACTATTATCGTTGTAAAGAATTTGTGCAATGAGTTGTGGTGCTTGACGACGAATAATAGGAACACTTTTTGGAGCGAATAAAGTATTCTATAAAAGAGAAACTAGAGAAATAATAACAAAAACAAATAATAATTTACCGTTGGAATCGATTGTGGCTTTGACCAAACTTTATTCGTTTTCTTCAATGATTGTTGCCGTTTCTTAGATGAAAATGAAAGTGTACGTGTAATACGAGAAAAAAGTTTCGTAAGTGAAACTGGAGATGACCATTTTTGATTCTTGTTTGAAGACATGTTTGAATCGATAAGTGAATTTTGAGAATGTGGTGAAATAGCAAATAGTAAGAGATAATATTAAGTTTGTTCTAACAAGCTTAAACTGATTGTTTAAGATAATTACGAATAATGTTCTTTTTTGTTTCAATATTGGAATAAATTGGCTTAATAAAATCATTGCTTTTCTTTTTTAATCATCTTATCTTGACGGTATTAGAAGTTAGTTAATTAATCGAAGACAACATCAAAAAAGAAATTAGTGAATGACAAAAACACAAAAAATTAATCACATACATATGAATTCGAAACATAATCACGCAACAAAATTCCTTAATACTATCAAGGATTACTATGATTACTTAACTATGTTAACAAAAAGTATAGTCAATAAAAGACTTTCGAGTATGTTTATCAAATAATGAATATGGAAAGAATGTGTTCATCTCATTCTCAAGAAACATGAAAACAATTAAGAACAACATCAATTTCATTCTGATCATGTAAATTTATGTCGTTTCTCTTCTCTCTGATTAAATAGTGTGTATGATAATTTAGCTTGATCATTGTTTGTCTATACTATCGTATGGTTATTCACAATGAAATTATTGATAGCAACATATAATTGAAAAATGTTGACCTCATTCTGACTGAAGCAAAAAATACATTCACTTTTTTTCACTATTCGTAATTAACTATCATTTATTTCTAGATGTTAATGATTTTGATAGTTTGATCATCTACGTTCGAAAATGTTTTTTTTTTTACCGTTACATAAGACAATCATGTGAGGGCAACAGCAAAGACTTCAGTCTTGAAGTTCTTTCATCACAGATCGTGACAGACATTTTAGCAAGGCCATGACTTCATCACCTCTCGCGTCACAGAACATGAGAGACGTTGTTGATATATCATCACAGATCATAAATCAATAATGTCTCGTTCTAATCTATGAACTACTTCCTTAGTACATTTCTGAAGAATTAAGTAAAAGGATGGTGAAGAAATATGTTCTAAAATAGATAGAAAAAAATAATCTTTCTGTGATTATCAAAAATAGCCACATCGTGTTTCACATTTTAATTCAACAGGGATTACGCTGACAACTTTTCATATATATTGAAGTCTGCTGTTTTCACATTGGGTTCCTGTTGAGATATATTTTTCTAAATAATCAATATATTATATGAATGTTAGTCTTTTCTTTTTTATGTAGTTATGAATTCAAACAAAAAGTAAATTGAATTTTTCTTGATGAAAAGAACGAATGTTAATAAACAAATGACGCACAAGTAGTTTTTTGCGAAGTCTTATTTATTGAAAACATCGAACAATAGTATAGGTCACTTGGAAAAAAACCGTTAAATTTGTACTGTTGTTTTCTTTCGCAATATGTTAAAACGAATGAACGAATAAATGAGTACAGCTAAAGTTTCGACGATCGAATTAACATCAAATTGTGTTGAAATAATGTTAAGTTCTTTAGAAACAGCATTAATATGTCCAAGCAGTTTACAATTATTTGAAGATCCTGTTTTAACTGAAGATGGTCATATATATGAACGAACAGCTATTACAGAATGGATTCATCTAAATGGAACGAGTCTTCCTACACGACAACCATTGAGTATTGATCCTTTACGTCCAAATCTTACTATAAAAAAAGTAGTAGATGATTTTGAAAATAATATTCAAAGTAAAAATCATAAATTTAAAATAGGTATTGATATTCGACATGATAAACGAGCACTTTTTCAAATATTTGGCAAAAGAATCTATAAAGCTGAATGGATTACTCAAGAACAATGATCATCAATTATCATATTACAAATTGATGGAGCACGTGCTCAAAAAGAAGCTTCATTCTATTTTAAACTCAGTCGACATTCACACATTGTACGACATTATACCGAATACTACATCATTAATGTTAATGAAGAAAGTCTTTTTGAATTTTTGCCTGATCAATAAGAATTACCTAATGATAAAATTCTTGAAGAAATATTTATTTAAATTCATGATGCTATGATTTTTCTTGGTGAGATAATAAGAAAAAAAAGTTGATTACTATAATTTATTTTCTTGTAGTTTACAATCAAATTGTACATGGAGATTTAGCATGTCGAAATGTACTCATGTTTCGATTTAATCCAAATGAAATAAAATATAATTGAATGAAACTTACTGATTTTGGTCTAAGTCGATTTAGTTCAATTTATTCTTCAGTTATTAGTGCTACTTCAACGACTACAATTATGGAAGTTACCACTAAATTGAAATTAATGATAATTTATGTTTATTAACAATAGACCGTTGTAACATGTACAGCCGCACCTGAAATTCTAGAGAACAGTAACCCAGTAACTTATACTGAAAAATCCGATATGTATTCAATAGGTATGCTTATGATTGAGGTATATAATAATGGGGCTATGTATTGGCCTAATATTTTCAATGATAATGATGTTCGTACCCAAGTTATAGCAGATAATCGGCCTTCATATCCTACAAACCGTACAAATAAACTTTGAACAATAATTGTTACTTGTCTTTCTGGAACAGGGACTAAAAAACCTAATTTTCGCTAGTTACGAAACATGTTGGCTGCTTCTACGGTAAAGCTATGACTATTTGACAAAAGTTATTGTAATTAATTTGAGAATTAAAAAAAAAATTGAACAATTCAAATATAGCGAGTTTGACAATAACAATATTGTCTCCAGCTCCAACGCGAGTTGTTCGGTCGAATAGACCATCTAGCATAAGACAACAAAGTCGTCCACCAAGCGCTCGGAGTAGTACTAGTAATGCAGTCATTTCAATCACCACCGTTAATGTCTCATCTGCAATTCAACCGCCAACACCTCGTGCTCTTCCACCTATTCCACACAAATCAAATTCAATATCATCGACACCTACGACAGATTCTAGCGCACCTCGACGACTATCAAGGTAGATTGAAACTATAATAAATAAATATGCTAATTTGTTTTTTTTTCTCTAATTATTGCAGTCAAAGCAAGCTGTTATTATTGTGCACGTATGTATGCTTTAACAGAACTCGACCAACATGAAGTCAGTTGACGGATAAAAAGTCAATGATTGTTTTCTCACACCTGATTGCATATAACATAGAATAATTGTACTCATAATCCGATAAATTATAATCCAACAATTATTGTAGAATTTTCAATACCTGTTCAACCTTCTCCTTCTCGTGCATCTTTTCAAACCAATGTAAATCTAGCCTGTATTACCATATGATTCATTTGCCTTATTATCATCATTTGGTGAAACGGATGATCATCAGCAAGATTTATGCACTTCATCCGTGCTACTCATTATACAAACTGGTGAACGAAGTGCTGTAGTCTGTTCGACACATCTTCCAACAATCACAGTTCGAACCAAAGAACGACCAAAGCCAAAAGTGAAACGTAAGAACTTTTTATTAAATATAAAATTACCAAGGATCAATAAATTATTTTAGACATACTGAATATTTAGAAATGATTTATTTTTTATTTATTTTTTATCATTTTAGAAACTTCAAATGTATCAGTCGCGTCAACTAATTTAACAACTAATACTATTGATGGCCAACCGCTCCAAGCACGTCAAGTGTCTAGTTTCTATGGTATTAAGCAAGTGGTATATTCAACATTATTTTAACCATGAGTACAACAAAACCAGAAAGTATTATGCTTGTCAGTGATCAAGCTAAATCATTGGAAAAAATTGAAACA